CGGATGAAGATGGATGGATGGATGGATGGATATGCAATATATTGTAATATAGTGGATCAGAATCAGAGGAAATTATGTAATATAATGTATGACACACATCACTATAAAAATATTTTTATTGTCTTTTGTTTTTTAATATCTATGAAACATAATATCAAATATCTTCTCCTATTGGAACAATTTTAGCAAAACATATAAATGAATACAGACAAACTGGGACAGGTGAGCAAACATGTTTGATTAGGCCGTGTTAATGTCAGGTGTGGTTAGCATGCACCTTACTCACCTTTCATCACATTTCACCACAACCACATTCTCAGTGCCTATGCCCAGCACAGCTGCAGATTTCTTTATTGAATAATGACTCTGAATAGAAGGAGAGACAGCCTTTCATCTGTATTTGTCTCACTTGAATATCAAGAAAAAGACTTAACCCTTTGATTCAACTGAAAGAAGTGCTCATAGTGATTCCATTAAGGCATTTGCAGGTGCTCGTTTATATTTATTATTCTGTAATTGTGTTTCACTCGTGCTGCACACAAGCCATTTTAGGATATTGCACTGACAAAAACAGCCAACCATAAACAGCACAGTGCAAAGGTTTTGAGCCAGTGCCACCCTTCTTTTTCATTGGCCTAGTTATGTATTTTCACTTTGCTTCCAAAGAACCAAACTTTCCTGAAATTCTTAAAAGAGCTCATCTTGAGCAGCTCAGCTTTCTGAGAGTTTTTCAAAGTTTTAGCTAGTGCATCACACTACTTGATGCTGGCATATGTACCATTCAAGCCCAAACAGGGCACCTAGTTCAGCAGATGAACCAAGAAGCCACCTTCTTGACAGCCAGTCTGCATGTTTAACATAACAATAATCATCTTGATAGAGAACAGAGCAAAAGATGGAGAATATTAAAAGTAGACCTTTGAATGGATTTCTGAAGACTACTTAAAGACATCTGAAGAATGCCTTCCTGTTCAGGCTGTACTGAAGAATAAAGGTACTCATACAAAATAGTGATATTCTTTTTTAGTTTTTAGAATTGTAGAAACTCTGGTTTTTCTTATATCATTTTACATATATATTTCCCATTATGTTTGCACATGCTTCACTGAACCTATTTACAACTTTCCTAGCAAAACTGCAACTTCTTTTGAAGGTCTTATTAAACGCAAAAATGAACATCAGACATGTTAGACCAGAAACAATGCAAGAAGTCAAAATAATGCCACTTTCATGTGGAGCTGCAGGGCTTACGCCCATAGATTGAAAGAGTGTGCGAGTTATGATTACATGTTCTGACGTGAACATGGCCAGCCGAGGCAGAGCTCCCATCCCTCTGGTCTTCACCTCTGGGTAGAAGTGATACCTGGCCAAGAGGATGCTGTACAGATTGGATATCGTGCCTCCTATAGAAAATAGAATGCAAGTAGAAAGTTAGTCCATTGTATACCTTTCTTTAACTACTGATACTCTAAACTCAATTTACTCAATCTAAACTCAAAGTCAAATCAATTTTGTACTGATTTGTAAAGAGTGTAAATCATGGTGTGCATGCATTTTGACAAAATCCATAGCAGTAAAAATTCCCCTTAGTGCATAAAATGACCATAATATATAAAAAAATAGCTTTATCATTCATAGAGGTCAAAGGTTCAGGTTTTTTCTTTAATTATCCATATCTAAAGGTGTTTACTTTTAACTTCTTGAAGCAGATTTTTGTCATATCTTTTTTTACCTGGACAGAAGAGTCCGTCACCCTCATCATCAGCCCACCCCACAATGCTTCGCATTTTTTTCAGCAGAGCCTCCTCAATGAGGAGGAAAACAGGCGAAACTTCATATGTGAACCTGGTAAAGAAATGTACATTCTAGAATTACATAGAAATGTAATTCTATTACAAATAAAGCCTGTAAAACAAGCAGCATCTCCCAGCCAGTTTTAGATAGTTGCACATTCTCATATAAAACTCTGTGAACTCCCCTAACTGGTTTACAGCCTGTGGTTTTCTGAACAAAAGAGATTCATGCACATGATAATATTTAATCATTCTATGTCTATGTCTTAATAAATAATAATTGAAGAAAGAAGTGTTTTACTGGTGATTCCTCAAGCTGGATACACGAATACAACAGCACCCTGACTGCCATAAGGTATCAGAAAGAAATCCTTGGATTGTCAGAGCCTACACTGGTGCAGTGGGTCCTGGGTTCCTCATGGTGCACAACAATGCCTCATATGCCTTCTGTGGCAAGAGTATGCATTTTCAAAGTGTTCATCCATTTTTTTGGACTATACATACATTAATATGTAAGTTTACACCAGGGGTCGGCAACCCTAGGCACGCATGCCACAGCTGGCAC